CACCAAAGTATTGTTTTTTTTTTTTTTTGGGGTGGGTGGGGGGTGAGTAGAGGAGGATGCACTTTGGAGGGGGATGATCACACAGAAGTATGTGTGGAGGACTAAAATTGTCTCACTGCCCTACGGGTGCAGGCATTGGAGGAATATTTTGAAGGGGTGGGAAGAGTTTGTAGGGAACATTTTATTCAGAGAGTGTGATGGAAGTAGGTTCAGTTTTTGGGAACCTAGTGAAAGTTATTCTTGACCTTCTCCAATAGTTTTTCTCTAGTACAAACCCCAGATTTAAGATCTCTATTTATCCTTATTTCTTCTGTTCAGGGCCACTTTCTTGGTGCCAAGTCAATGTAATTAATGATTTGAGTAATAATCATGCAACAACAATTAGTGGTTTCTTTTTGGTCCCTCGTTCGGGTCAATGGTGTTGGTGATGAGAAAAATGATGTTTCTATTGGAAAACTATTTGCGCAGTTACAGAGAAGAACATCAATGATGTGGAGAAAAAGAAAGGAAAAAGAAGTATATCTGCCATTAAGAACATCACTAACCTGCCATGAAGAGGTGAATGTGGGCACTGCACCATTGTTAAGAGCATCCAGGAAGGACTGAGTTATACGAGCAAAGAGCGGTCCTGTCATAACAGTCCCTCCAACTTGCTTTGGTCTTGTCCTCTCAAAAACAAATCTTGTCAAAGCATCAAGACCAGCTTTAAACTCTGGCCTCAGGTTTTCCAACTACATGTGAAAATCGATACTACAATTAGAATAATTAAAGGGCAGAATCACAATTAGATAATAATAGTAGAGAATGGAACATATGAAAGAATATTAACTGGAATCTGATCTAGCCGTTGAAGCGCATTTTCATTGCTCAAAGGACGCACAAGGCTGAAGCATTCTCTATCAGGGAAAAGAGCACGAATGGATTCCCTAATCTGCAGTTAGAAGTTCCAAGTTCCGGGAACCAGTTTTTAAAACAGGGATGATTAAATTAGAAATTGAATAATTACAACACATAGTAAAGCAAAAGAAACATTCATGTAAAGTGGATACCTCGTTTTTAGCAGCAACACCTCTCCCACCACCTTGAACCGGCCTCAAAGCAAGTTCAAGGTAGTCCCACGGAGTTATTTTACGGTTGTCCTCAACCAAGTCCAAATAAAAATCCTTTTTGCAGAGAGAAAAAATATATGTCAACAGTTTCACAAGCAAGCACAGAAGTAAATCTAAATGAATCAACTCTGAATAACCCTAAGCAACCAAACGAAGATTGGGGAGAACTGTCCAAGCTCCGAAGCGCTGGCCATTTCAGTGACAAGAGAAAGACGGTCAATTGCAGCTTCATCAATATCACCCATCTATATTAATAGATCAAAGAGATTATGAAGACACCTAAAGAACAGACAAACTGTAGCAACAAGGAAATTCACTAAATCTTGAGGGGAGAACGCTAAACAGTCTAACAAGAATGCCATGTCAAAGGGAACGAATGAGATCCATGTTTGAATGCTCCTAACCTGGTTATATACAAACATACTTGAAAGAAGGACCGCCAAGGACAATATTTGTGTGCTATGTGTTCCCTGTCAAACAGCAAAACAAAACAGAAACTTACAAAAGGCAAAAGAGAGTCAGTAGCCATACAAGCCATATAGCATGTGCCAGGTGAGTGAGTAGTAAAAATCTTGACACTGCTATCAGTATGCAGGTGATACCTTCTTCAGAAAACCAATAAGTAATAAATATGTTAAAGGGCGGAAACTAACTGTTTGATCATAAGCATTAATTCCTTCTGTGTCCAACAGTAACAGATTGTATTCCGTTCCATCAAGAGCTGTTCTCCTTAAAGGTGCACTCCACAACCAAATACCTTTTGTACATGGCCGATGAGTTGGAGACACTTGAAAACCAGTACTCCTGCCAAAAAGCTATTGGGCATACAGCAAGCTCTCAGTTACATGTTTTCAGCAAAGTAGGAAGAAGCTCTAAGTTACATATGGTAATCTACTTGAGATAGCAAGTAAATAGCTATAAGTAAATAGTAGAGATAATTGTGGTTCCATTGTAATAGACCTTGCTAATAACATAACTGAATTGAGTTTCTAAAACAACAATATCACAAATGTGCTATAGCTTTGACTCACGAGTTGACTGTAATCTATGTATGAAATGAACAAGTCACAACCTCCGCACGGAGGATGACAAGTTTGCTGCAACAAATAGTGAACTCCAGTTGAAACCTTAAAAAACAATTTAGATGAACAAGAACAACCAGGCCTCAGTCCCAAACAAGTTAAGGTCGGCTATATGAATCCATACTGACCACGTTACTTCATTTAAATCCAATATTATGCAAATATAAATAAAAAGTATAAGGAGAACAGTAAATCTCAGCAAGATTAAACCACTCCTAGCAAGCAGTCTAAATCATCTTGACAGGTATGTTGAGCTAATATAAAATAGTTAAGGTCATACGTTGTACATCCTTCAACCAACACATATGAATATATTCTTCCAAACTCATTTCTACTCTACCTTTTTTTTTTTTAAAGATAATGGTGATGTCGGGGCCAGCTTGCGCGCACCTCAAACTTATTCTATGGAGTACGTGCTACCTCCCACCAGCATATGTACCGGGCAACACTTAGGATCAACCGCAGCCTTCGAAACTCGGGAATAATGGGTGCCCCTTTACCCTCCTCCACTTAAATATCGGGCTTAGTACGCAAGGCTCAAACCTGTGACCTAAGTCACAAGTCCCTCAACCTTTGCCACTTGAACTAAGCCTCAGGGGCTAAGGCATAGCTGATTGATTGATTTAATGATGTCGATTCTCAAGTTTCATAACAATTGCTTGATAATTCTAGTCATAACAATTAAATAGATGACTATTAGCTTCCAAAATTCCAATTCTAACCAACACCTACAACACTTGAGAGGAAAAACCCGTAATAAACAGCGGAGCTCTTTACAAACCATAACCACAACCCTAGATTGTGCATTTAACCAAAAATACATTTTAAAAAAACAAATACTAAGAGCTTAATTTATCTCTAGCTTGACTGAAATTTTACCTGATTAAGTAAAAAGCTCTTGCCTTGACGAGCACGACCAGAAACAGAGACAATACCAACTGGCTCTTTGACTAGTTGAAGTATCGCAAGGGCTTCGGGATCAATTTGGAACTTTCCTTCCTCATCGCAATACACGAAACGAACTGCTCTCTCCGGACCGGCGGCAATGTTAACGGCGGATGGAAGAGATGACAGCGACGGCGACGGTGATGAAGAAGGTTGCTGTGCGGAACTTTGTAACGTTGGAATCGCCATGCAAGAAGAAGAATTAAGGGAAAGTTGTATATGGTACTATAATATTAAAAGTGAATGTTACTTAGAGAGCAAGATAGTCTAACTAGGAATCAACTTCCTTTTTCCTGTAAACAGGAGGATTTTCTATTTCATTCGTAAGACTTAACAAATTGTACTATTATCTCTCTATAAATTTCTTTTTTTCTCTTATTTCACTTTATTTTTATTATTTTATAAAAGTGACTTATAGGTCACGGAATCGAGCCCGAGAAATAGTTATTAATACTTGCATTAGGATATGACTCTTCCGCGAACCTACGTGAATGCGGGATACCCGTGCACCGAATGACTTATTTAATAAAAGAAAATTACCTTTTTAGATGATTTTCAACCGGGAGGACGGTCAAGAGATACCTTTTCCGGTTTGGACAAATTTTAGTTGAAAATGAAATTAAAAATTACTTAATTTAATTTAAAAAATAATTACATTTTTGATTCAGTTTTTTGTATATATTAATTATTGTCTTTGTGATATTTCACTAAGAATATATAACTTTTAATTAATTAAAATGTGTCGGTTTTGTCTTAAAGTTACATAGAAAATACTTATATCATATTTAGATTATTTTGAGAATAATATTCTCATTATGAAGTAATAATACAAATTTAACATAATACACAAATAGTTAAATGTTTCCACAAGTAATAGTTAAACTTGTGAAGGAAACAAGCAGAATGATAAAAAAAATGTGCATTTCGATTTATTAAAGATTAAATGTGTTTAACCAAATAATAATTAGATTAGACTTTATTAATATTTCGGAGACTAAAACCGCAAATTCTTCCGATGGCAAGTTGAAAAATTATAGTTCGTAGAATGTGTTTGGGTAGCTATACGTTTGAAAGAAGAAAAAATCTTTCAATTTTTAACTCATAATACTTACTCCAACTAACATTTAAATATTATTATTAATATTTAGTATTCATGAATTCTTTAAAACAGTAATTGATTTGCTAAATCGATTATTAATATTTCATACCGTATATATGTCACGACCCGAAATTTTCCACCGACGGGACCGTGATGACGCCTAACATTTCACTTACTAGGCAAGCCAATGTTAGAGAATCATTAGACCAATTCCTTATTCCCATTAAGTAAATAATAATAATTAACTAAGATGAAATATAATAAGTGCGGAATATTATAAACCTGTATTAATTACTACCACCCGGATCTGGAGTCAAAATTCATGAGCATTCTAGAATTTACTACAAGTAATAGTCTGAAAGAAATACAACTGTTTGAATGAAAGAAAATAGTAGGACATAAAAGATAGACGGGGACTTCAAGGTCTGTGAATGCCGACAGATCTACCTTGAGTCGCCGGACAATGGACCAATAGCAAAATCTCGATCAACCTGAGCCGGTACCAAAATCTGCACAGAAAGTGCAGAGTGCAGCATCAGTACAACCGACCTCATGTACTGGTAAGTGTCGAGCCTAACCTCGACGAAGTAGTGACGGGGCTAGGACAAGACACCCACATATAACCTGAACATTATAATCATGCTAGTGGCAACAACAGTAAATAAAAAAATAACACAGAAATAATGGGAAGGGGACATACAGTGGGGGAATACAATATAAAGAGTGAGAATAATGAAAAGACCGAATTAAACCGAAAATCCTTAAACGAATTGAGCAAATAAAACAGCAAAGGAAAACTTTACTGCATCATCCTTCGTGCTTTTACTCTCAACCTCACCAAATAAATAAATAGAACGACACGACATCACCCTTCGTGCATTAAACCTCTCATAATTTACACGGCATCACTCTTCGTGCTTTATCACTCACAAATCATGGCACGACATAACCCTTCGTGCATTAACACTCACGTATCGCGGCACGACATCACCCTTCGTGCTTTACACTCTTCCTCACAAATCACAGAATCAATAACAACGGATAGATATGAGTATTACAAAGAAACTAGTATTTTACCCATAATTAATAGCACAATGTAACCTCAACCTTGAATCAATATTCGAAAGTTACCAAATCTGAGTGAAACCAGATATAAGTCACCCAACATTTCAAATAACTCGCTAAGCATGGATAGTTGAATTTAAGGCTACAAAATAGACAAGAATAGAATTTCACTCGCATGCTATGACTCGACAACGACGCATAGATGCTCGTCACCTCACCTATACATCGTATTTAACAACCGAACACGTAGCAAATAAATACATAATACCTATTTCCTCAAGCCAAAGTTAGACACGACACTTACCACGCTCCGAAGGCCACTTAATTCTCAATCACAGCTTTTCCTTTGGAATTCATCTCCAAACCACTCGTATCTATTCAAAAATAATTCAATTATATCAAATATTGCTAAAGAAATCAATTATATTGCATAAATTAAATTTCCCAAATTTTCCTCCAAAAAGTCAAAAAATCGACCCCGGGCTCGCTTGGTCAAAACCTGAGGTTCGGACCAAAATCCATTTACCCATTCACCCCCTAGCCTGAATATATAATTAGTTTTGGACTCCGACCCTCAAATTGAGGTCTAAATTCCCAAATTTCCAAAATTTCTAGTTTCTACCCTAACCCCTAATTCTACCATGTAAACTCTAGATTTTAGGTTGATAATTCAAGAAATATAATGGGTAATTGAAAGAAAATAATTTAGAATCACTTACCAACACTTTGGGGAAGAAAGTGACTCTTGAAAATCGTCTCTACCCGTTTGGTGCTTGAAAAATATTGAAGAAATGGCTTAAACCCGTGTTTGATCCTATTTTATGCACTGGGCGACAGTGTGCATCGCGTTCGCGAAGAGTATTGGCTGCCAAGTCTTCACGTTCATGATGGTTACTCCCCCTAGCCTTCGCGTTCGCGAGACATTGCTCGCGTTCGCGAGGAGCTGGTCGCGTTCGTGAAGGGTAGCGCCCCATCGCTTCGCGTTCGCGACTAAGCCTTCGCGTTTGCGAAGAAGAAAACTTCAGCTGCCCAGTTTACTCTTCGCGTTCGCGAGATTACCTTCGCGAACACGAAGAAGGACCTGCCCGAACACCTGCTGCAGCAAAATACCAGATTTTCAAAGTCAAAAATATTCTGTGGCCTACCCGAAACTCACCCGAGCCTTTAGGGCTCCAAAACAAACATGCACACAAGTCTAAAAATATCATACGAACTTGCTCGCTCGATCAAATCGCCAAAATAACACCTAGAACTCTAAATTTAGCACCAAATCAAATAAAATTCTCAAGAACACTTTAAAATTTCTATTTTCTCAACTGGACGTCCGAATCACGTCAAATCAACTCCGTTTCTCACCAAATTTCACAGACAAGTCTTAAATATCATAATGAACATGTACCGAGCTCCAGAACCAAAATACGGACCCGTTACTAAGAATGCCAAACATCAATCAATTCTTAAAAACAAATAATTTTCAGACTTTTAATTTTTCCAAAAAATCATAACTTAAGCTAGGGACCTCCAAATTCGATTTCGGGCATACGTACAGGTCTCATAATTCGATATGGACCCACCGAGTCTGTCAAAATATGGATCCGGGCCCGTTTATTAAAAATGTTGATCGAAGTCGACTAAAATCAACTTTTAAGGCATAAATTCTTATTTTCATCAATTTTCAACATAGAAGCTTTTCGGAAACATGCCCGGACTGCGCCCGCAAATCGGGGAGTATAAAAATGAGATTTTAAGGCTTAAGAGTGCAGATTCGAGTTCTAAAATATAAGATGACCTTTTGGGTCATCACATTCTCCACGTCTAAAATAACCGTTCGTCCTCGAACGGACATAGAAAAGTATCTGGGCTGGTGAAAAGGTGGGGATATCTACTCCGCATATCAGACAAGGACTCCCAAGTAGATGACTCAATAGGCTAACCTCTCCACTGCACTCGAACTGAAGGGTAATTCTTTGATCTCAACTGGCGAACTTGCCGGGCTAAAATTGCCACCGGCTCCTCCTCGTATGTCAAATCCTTGTCCAACTAGACAGAGCTGGAATATAACACATGGGACGGATCGCTATGATACTTTTGAAGCATGGACACATGGAATACTGGATGAACAACTGCTAAACTAGGTGGCAACGCAAGTCTGTAAGCCACCTCTTCCACTCTCTCCAGAATCACAAAAGGTCCAATATACCTAGGGGTCAACTTGCCCTTCTTTCTGAACCTCATTACACCCTTCACGGGTGATACCCGAAGTAACACTCTCTCTCCGACCATAAATGCAACATCACGAACTCTACGGTCGACATAAATCTTCTGCCTGGACTGAGCAGTGCGAAGTCGGTCTTGAATAATCTTGACCTTATCCAAGACATCCTGTACTAAGTCAGTGCCCAACAACCGAGTCTCTCCCGGCTCGAACTACCCAACTGGCGACCGACACCGCCTACTATATAATGCCTCATAGAGAGACATTTGAATGCCCTACTGGTAGCTGTTATTGTAGGCGAACTCTGCAAGGGGCAAGAACTGATCCTACGATCCTCCGAAGTCTATAACACAAGCGCGGAGCATATCCTCCAAGATCTGAATAGTACGCTCGGACTGCCCATCCTTCTGAGGATGAAATGTTGTGCTCAACTCAACCCGCGTACCCAACTCATGCTGAATTGCCCTCCAAAAGTGCAAGGTAAACTGCGTACCTTGATCAGAAATGATAGATACGGGCACACCATGAAGACAGACGATCTCCCGAATATATATCTCTGCCAACTGCTATGAGGAATAGGTAACTGCCATAGGAATGAAGTGCGTTGACTTAGTCAGCCTATCCACAATAACCCACAAATCATCGAACTTCCTCTGAGTCCGTGGGAGTCCAACAACAAAGTCCTTAGTGATACGCTCCCACTTCCACTCAGGAATCTCTCTCTTCTGAAGCAAACCACCAGGTCTCTGATGCTCGTACTTTACTTGCTGACAATTTAGACACCGAGCTACATATGCAACTATGCCTTTCTTCATCCTCCTCCACCAATAA